CGGGACTCTGGCCAAGACCTCCACCCCGGCCACACCCCCGCCCCCACTCCGGCCCAGACCCCCGACTCCGTCCCCTGCCCCGCCCCGACTCCCGCCCAGACCCCGACTCCGACCCGAACCTCCACTCGACCCCCGCCTCTCAGGCGCCTTCCCGGCCGCCGCACCCCTGCCCAGCAGCACCCCTCTCCTCAGCACCCACGACCACCCAGCACGCCATCCGGGGGTCCCGGACCGCGGGAACTCACGTGCCCTCCGTCATGTCAGCCGCGCTCCACTCCGCGCGAACCGTAGGCTCCCAGATCCACCGCCAGAGCTCGCCCTTCCTGCCGCACTGGGCAGGCGCGCCCCTCGGCCCACGCGCAGGCTCGGGTGGACCGATGCTAGTACAGCCAATCAGAACGCCACGAGGGCGGGACCAGGACGCGCTCCGCGACCGCATTGTAGAAGCGCGCGGCGCGCCAGGAGGCGGGGGAAGGAGCCGAGGGGCGGGGCCCGAGGGGAGGCAGCAGGAAGAGGGGGAGGGACCAGCGCGGAGAGGCGGGGCTTCACGGACGGGGCTACCGGGGAAGGGCTACAGGGAGGAAGGTGCTACAGGGGAGGGGCCTGAAGGAGCGTGGTTGTGGGGAGGGGCCTGAGGGGGCGGGGCCGTAGGGGAGGGGCTACCGGGAAGGGCCTGGTTCGTAGGGTTGGGCGCTGCGCGCTGAGGGGCGCGTGAGCGGTCTGTGAGGAGAGTCCCGCCGGAGGCCAGCAGGAAAGGCGACCCGGGGAGATAGGCTCGGGCAGAGGGGGCGGAGGGCAAAGGCGGTGCAGGGAGGAGCGCGCGGGAGGAACCGCCGGGCGGCCAGGGCGGCAGCGGACAGGGAGGGAGGGGCAGTGGCAGCTGAGGGGGCTGCAGGGTGTCGAGGGAGGGGGTGTGGTGGGGTGGAGAGGGTGGAGGAAGGGGGTGTGGCTGATGGGAGGGGCCGGAATGGGCGTGGCCGAGGGGAGGGGCCTTAGGGGGCGGGGCTGCCAGGAAGGGCCTCTGTCGGCCGGTTGTGCGCAGCGCGCTGAGGGGCGCGTGAGTGGCCTGTGAGGAGAGTCCCGCCGGAGGCCGGCAGGCAGGGCGACCCCGGGAGCGCGGCTCGGGCAGAGGGGGCGGAGGGCAAAGGCGGTGGTGCAGGGAGGAGCGCGCGGGAGGAACCGCCGGCAGGCCAGGGCGGGCGGGAGAGGCACGGAGGGGCAGTGGCGGCTGAGGGGGCTGGAGGGGGTGTGGAGGGAGGGGCAGCAGGGGATGCAGAGGGGGCTGGAGGGGCTGAGGGTGGGGGTGGGCAGGAGCTCTGAGCGGGACACCGGGAAGCTGAGCCACGGGCAGGCGCAGGTGGCTGGCACCAGAGAAGCGGAAATGAAGACAAGCTGCGCGAGCTCACAGGGCGAGAGGAGGGCTCCGTCGAAGTGAGAAAGAAGCCGATGAAGAGGAAGATGGGGTCAGAATCCAGGACCCGCCCGGCTTGGCAGGAAGACTGGGGGTTCCCAGAGGTGCTCTCTGAGATAAAGGGGTGAGCCCAGGACCACAGGTGCCAAGAGCCCAGCCCAGGGGACGGAGAGGGCTGCCTCCCCACCAAGGGCCGCAGGCACTCGCGGGTCCCCAGGAGAAGCTGAAGTTGAAGGTCCTTGGCAGCAGGTGGAGGCAGAGTGCTTGGGGGCCGAGCTGGGTGTGGCCGGGGTGGGGAGCAGCGTGGCTGGCCGGGCTGAGGGGAGAGTTGAGAGCATCTGGCGGAGGAAAGGTGGCTGCGCTCTGGAGATGACATCCCGAGGTCCGGAAGGCCCATCGTGAGCCCACAGAGCCCTGATGTCACCTGCAACTGCCCCAGCCAAGTGAACGTTTCTGCACCCACCCCTCAAATTCTACCCCACGCCTGACCCTGAAGGGGCGTGACCTACAGCACAGTCGGGGGAGTTGGTGGGGGATGAGGAGTGGACAAGAGAAAAAACACCCACATACACCCTGACCCTAATGGAATAATGGCGTCAACCAAGGACACTCACCTCTTCCTCTCCCAGTTCAGAAACGTGTGAAGACAGAGCAGTACGATATCGAAACATCAGCCATCAGAGATACAAAGCTAGTTGGGAGGACAAGGCTGACATCTGCAAGCGAGGGATGGCTACTGCCCCACCCCGAGTCAGACAAACCTCCAGCCTCTGGGCCACAGAGCTGCCTCACCAAGCGCCGCGCTGCCCAGCGCCAACGAGAAGACACCTGTCAGCCCACAGGCGCCAGAAAGGGCACCCTGAAGAGCCTGAGTGCACCTGACCCTGTCTGTTCTCCCAATTCACCAGCCAAATGAGGCACTCCCACTTCCCTAGGAGCAGAAAGGGGCTGGGAGTTTTCCTCCAGGGTGTCCCTCCGGGTAGAAACATGCAGAGCAGGAATCGTGGCAGAGAGGACAGGAACACAGAAAACCAAGCAAGTGAAAAAACAAGGCAATTATCAACTCCAGGAGAAACCTAAAGTTGTACCCAAAAGAAATGTTATCACAAACCAATACAGGGCTCAACAGTGAACAGAAACATAGTGCAGGTTTCAGCCAACATGGTGTTGACCTGCCAGGGAGAAGGCAGGCGAGGAAGCATAGGTCCATGTGGGTGATGCACCTTGCAGGGAAGACTAAGAGAGCTAACTTCTCCTCCACTGTAGGAAGTCAAAAATCAAGATTAGGAAATAGCATTATTTTTCTTTATTGATAAACATGAAGTTAATCACTGAAGAGATCCCTGAGTTGTGTGTGTCTGGGGAAGCAGGGACTGGCTGGTGGATTTGGTAGAGGTGAGTGAGATAAGGAGGTTCTTCTTAGCACTTCTGTATTCTCAGCCACACTCAGCATCACCAAGTCTGTGGATACCTCGTTCGAACACGTGCGTGGACACATGCTGAATTGGTAGCAGGGAAGGATGGAGGGGTGGGGTGGGGTAGAGGAGAGAAAACTGGATGCAGGGGTGCAACTGGGGCAGCATACCGAAGAGGACACAGCCTGAAGGCCCCACAAGGGGACAGGCCAGGGGGTCATGCCACAGAGATCCTTGCCGCCTTATTCTAGGTGCTGTAGGAACCAGGCAGTGAAGATCAGCAGAGAAGTGACCTGGTCACATTTTCTTTTAAAACTGGCAGCAGGGGAGTTCAACAAGATGAGGCAAGAATCCCGCCGCAGGTGCGGCAGGCGTCCAGGTGACATCAATGGTGGGAGCCTGAGCTTGCTGGCACTTGGTGTGGGGAGAGGGGACAAATTTGAGCCATATACACAAAGAGGTATTTTTTTTTTTTTTTTTTTAGAGACAGGGTCTCACTCTCGCCCAGGTGGGAGTGCGGTGGCACGATGGTGGTAGCTCACTGCAACCTTGAACTCCTGGGCTCCAACGACCCTCCTGCCTCAGCCTCCTGAGTAGGGGATTACAGGCGCGTGCACCACCATGCCCAGCCCTACTGAGAGAATGAACCACCTGTTACACATGAAAACGTAAGCTGCAAACTCTGCAACATGAAGACAAATGAGAATACTGAAGGTGTCACACAGTGAAGCTTTTCATTCTCAACTGGGAAAGGCCTCAGTGGACATTCACATGGTTTATTTGCATGATTAATAATCACATTTCCAACAGTGCATCAAGCATCTGAGAATAACATTATTTTGAGTAAAAGCAGACGCTTCCGGAGAGACCCCTCCCCTCAGGTCAGCCGCTAAATGTCCACCATGTCCAGCAGCGCGGAGAGATGGAGCGCGGAGGCCACTTCCTCTTCCCTTGAACTCTGGATCAGCCTTTGCAGGTGCTTCAGCCGCTCGGTCAGAGATGTGCCTGTTGCCTCCGTCAGCTGCAGCTGTCCTCCAGCCCTTTCATTCTGTTTGAATAAAAAAGAAATTGAGACCTGTGCTCTGTGAAGACCACCCTGGCCGTGTCAGACGCTGCAGTGTGACCTGCCGGGCTCCCCGCCATGCCCATCCAGCCACCTCCAGCCACGTGACAGCAGGTATCATCCGCTAGGGGCCTGCTTCTGTGCGTGCTCTACAGGGACAATTTCCGGTGTCATTTCTATAGAATGTCACTGTCCAGGGCTGTGACTATTGCATCACACGAATGTGCCGCAGCTGCTTAATCGGACTCCCGCTTTTGGACATTTCGATTCTTTCCACTGTTACGCAGCATCGTTAATGCCGGAGTGGACGATCTGCTCTTCTCCCTGCTGACGGGCTTCCTAGAGCCAGTCGGTCCCACAGCACATCAGTGATGGAAACCCTGGTTTTGTTCCCTTAACCACTAAAGGAAGGATGTAAGTAGAAGGACCATGGGCTTTGGGGCCAGTCAGAAATGAGAAGCAACTCTGCTGCTGACCAGCAGACACTCCTGGGTGAGGCCCTTACCCTCCTCACTCACTCATTCCCCTGAGGAAAAGTCGGTCCCAGAAAGGAGGCCTGCGTGACGCTGAGGCCTGCAAGTTTGTGCTGCACAAACAGAAGCCATGTTGCCACCTGCTGTTCCGGCCAGTCCTTACCGCACGTCAGCACAGTTCCAGTCCCATTCACCACTCACTGCACACACAGAACCTGGGACTTAGCTGGGTCTCCATAACGATGGGGTTAAGAAAAGGTCCAGCTTAAGCTAACAAGCGACTGGTCATCATAACATGATGAGTCACGTTACTTTCCCCGCCGTCCTCTCGGTCTTCAGTTCTAGCATAAATGCCAGTGTCTACCTTCTCACCTGTGGGCTGGCAGCGGCGGACGCGTTGATCACAGGTCCCATGGCCTGCGGCAGAGACACTAGTGTCTGAGGAAGGTAGAGGGGGAGGGAAGCTGAGTCCGTGCGTGCTCCGGAGTCCTCAGACAACCACCGCCGAAGCTGATCTTCACACCTGAAACCACATGTGGCCACATGCTCAGAAACGCATTTCACTTTTCTCTGTACGTACTTTGCTTTTTACCAAGGACAGAACTAAGTTATGCCATCAACTGGAAAGCAGAAAGGTACTTTTAAAAAATGTAATGTGGTCCCTTTAATTTATAAATCCAATTCATATTTAATGAGAAAGGTGGTATTAATCCAAAAACAACTATGTCTATGCATTACTTAACATTACTTGTAATTCTCTGATTTGGCTTATTTTGTCTATTTGATTTATTTTGGTTTTAGGTATCTATAATTCATTTTTTTCGCTTGATGGATTTCCAAAGTGTATGCATCACTGCTTATAATTTGAAATTAACTCAAAATAATATCGCACTGCCACCTAACACGCTCCAGACCTGTCTACTTCCACATACTTGTCTTTTCAAGAAAAACGACCTCATCCAAAACCACTTGAATTATACAGACCTAGGTAGATCTATTTTTAGAAATCAAGACACCTCCATTCCCTCTTCCAACACGTATTAGCAAGCCCCACCCAACGCCTGGCATCATTCCAGGAACAAGGATACACGCTGAAAACAGACAAGGAACCTCACAGGGAGACGGCCCAGGGTGGGAAGGGCAGGGGCAGGAAGGAGCCGGGAGGGCCTAACTGCAGAGCCGGAGTGCGCAAGGTCAGCCATGGATGCCGGAGGGTGAGCAGCCGGAGAGGCAAAGGGAATGGCGAACTCAGAGGCCCGTGGGCTGCCCACCGCAGTCCAGGAAGGAGCAGAGGTCAGAGGATGTGGGGGGCAGATCACACAAGGCCCTGCCCACCCTCTAGAGTCTACCCTGGACTCCAGGTGGAAGAAGCAGCCACTGAAAGGCTGTGAGCAGAGGAAGGCATGACCGCCCCCTGACACCGGAGAGGCGCCCACAGGCTCTCGGCATAGGCCACAGCCCAGGGCAGTAACCCAGAAGGCAGCGAGGGTGGCGTGAGCCGGACGGTGGCCGGGAAGGCATAACAGATGGTCCAGTTCTGAATACATTTTCAATAGAGCCCGGAGGATTTGCAGGTGGACAACTCTGAGGCACTTGGCCTGGGCAGCAAGAAGGACGGAGCCACCACCAACAGAGGCGGACACCGAAAGAGGAGCTGGTGGGGAAAACCAGGAATTGGACGTGGACACATTGGCCACGCGGGCTGCAGGAGGCTGGGAGAGAGGGCGGAGGAAGTGTCGCACCTGTTCTTGAGGAGTTCTGCTGTTAAGAGCAGAAGCAGGGGTGGTGGCTGGAAGGAAACGGAGCCCAGGTAGGGAGAAGCGCCAGCACGTTTCCGCGTCCACGCGCCGACAGGCACAATCTAGCTGGTGGGGGAAGGTGACGCCAGGGAGGGACTCACGGGACCAGTGCCCCCTCGTGGGTCGGAGGTGAGCTCCCAGCACAAGGGAAGGGCTGACTCGGCTAAGAGCTGGAGGGATTCCCCCCAGCAACACAAGGAGACAGGGAGGGGACAGGTTGGAACGCGGGCTGTGGCTGGGCAGGCAGGGGAGGCGGGAGGAGGACCTGTGGACATGGCCTTCCTTCTTCCTGGTTCTGTTTCTCAATAAACAAGGCCATGAGGTGACAGCCGTTCACAGGAGGGTCAGCCCCAGCTCCCGGCCCTCCCGAGTGTGGGACACACTGACGCCTCAGGCTCCCAAGGCAGGGCACTGGCGGCCGGCCACGCTGGTCCACACTCACCATCCTCTGAGAACACTCATCGGCCACCCGCATTTCCCACTGGAAAACTTCACACTGACTTCCATAGTAGGAAATGAAACTGACTTCAAATAATAAACAGTTAAAAACACACTATCTAGGGAACTCAACTTACGTGCCTCTCCTAACACTCGTCACTACCGCCCTTGAGGCCGCCTGCCCTCCCCGCCCTCACGCGGGCGCGGGGAGAGCTCCCCTCCTCTTCTCCTCCTCCAGCCGCCCATCCTCATGTGGAGCGGGCAGAGCTCACCTCCTGTTCTCCTCCTTCTCCAGCAGGAGGGTGCTCGACACACACTGGGCCAGGAGCTCCTCGGCAGACGCACGTCGCAGCAGGTCCTCGGCGCTGGGGACCCTACGCTCTCGGCCGCGCTCGGTGCTCCTCTTCCCCTTGTGGTGCACGTGAAGCAATGGAGCAGGAAAACTGTTTGCCGGAGGATGGAAAGGCTTCATCCCCAAACTGCAAGTACATGATTGGAAATGCTCACGGTCAGGAAAGAGGGAGGAAGGGTTCCTAGAGCCTCACGCAAAGCATGTGGACACAGCCACACGCGTGCATGCATCCACGGGTACAAACACACGTGCCGCCCTCCTGGGACGAAGCGTGCACCTGTCGGCCCCACGCCTGCCTTGGGGCTTCTCTCCAGCTGGGAGCAGGACGCAGAGGTAAGGTGACCTCCACCACCGCAGCATGGGGAGACTTTTCTCCCAGAAGCTTCAGCTCTTGTTGAGTAGTGGGGCTTTTGCAGCCTCTCCACTCCGTGTCTTTCTTCCCGTCCAAGGGTTACAAACAGACTCTCCATTTTCCCCTAATATTGGCAAGGGTCTTATTTTTTATATTTCACTCCTGAATCCCTCTGGCAGTAATGTTTGCAAATGTGGGAGAGAAGGCATTTGACAGTTTCCTGCACACACATGCCACTACCTGTCCTTTCCCCGCTAAGCTGACCCTTGCCACGTGTGTTCCACTTCGGGACATTCTGTGCCACTTACTCCTGCACCGCCACCTGGCTTGAAGACTGTGGCTTTACTCTATGACCTGTTATCAGGCCTTGCTACTTTTATTTAGAATTTTCTCATCCACTGCTACACATTTTCTTATCCTGATGAATTTTAGAATTAACTTGTCAATACAATACCAAGGGAAAAAATCCTTTTGGGTTTTGATCAGAAAGGCCCTGACTTCACGGAGAACTGACGTCGAGAAGGCCTGTGCCTCGGACCCTGAGAGCCCTGGCCGTGCATGCCCACATGTCAGGGCTGCTGTTTGCATGAGAACTTCCGCACACGTTGCGGGTCCGTCCATCTGATCACCTTGCTGAACTCTGGTTCTCGGGGCTGGACTACTCATCTTCTTCTTGAGCTGACAGCTGTGCTGTCTGGAAATGACGTTTCTCCTTCCTCTCGGTATCTGCCTGTCCCCCCACAGCCCTGGCTTCCAGGACAACAGTGAACAGGACTGAGGCTGGTTCTGACTTCAGCCTTTCTCATGTTCTACCAAGAAGCATGATTTTTCTTCTTTTTTAGTATTTTTATGGTAAGTAGTCTTACTGAGTTAAAGAATTTTTTTTACCCAAGCTTGATAAGAATTTTATCAGGAGTGCATATAAATTCTAAGAAATGTATTTCAACACCTACTGACATGATCACGTATTTTTCTATTAAGGCAGCAAATTATACCAATAGATTTCTACTGTTGGTACTATCTGCCCCAGGAGAAAGCCTGCGTGTGGTTTATCTCAGGTGCTGCACGACCACAGGTGCTAACATTTCCTGGTTATTTCTGAGCCAGGTGTAGGAGATGAGGTGGCCTGCACTTTCCCAGGGAGGTACGATTTCAGGTCAGGCTCATCTGACAAGTGGAGTGAGATGTGTATGACTTCTCTCTGCCCTAGAACAGTTTCTACTACCCAGGAGTGATCTGTTCCTTGAGGGTTTGTCGCGATCTCCCCACAGTGGACTGGACTCCGTGCACAGGAGGGGAACGGCACGGTGTAAGAGGCAACGGAAACACACACTGAACACGGATCGCACCGTCCCTGGGTCAGCTGTAGCTCCTTCTGCGTCTGCAACCTGGCTTGTTCCCACGACAAAGGAACATCGTACTTCTTCAAATCATTTTTAAAAAAATATACACATATCTGACCATCTTCACTCAGTGCCTCTGAAAAACAGTATGAAAACAAAGAGTATCAAACGAGCAACAGATAACCACTTCACATTTGCTTAAAGTCACTGATGTAAGGATAAGCCTTTCTGATGAGTTGAAAGTCAGACAATGATGTGACTTCCATGCTTCAGTCAAATATCCTGAGTGTCCCTGTGTTGCTCAAGGTCGGGACAGGCTCCGTCCCGACTGGCAGGGCAGTGACGACCACTCAGAGCCACAGAACCTAACTGGGCACCAGCCTGGGGGCTACTCCAGGGAGGTGCGTTCAGGCTGCACTGGAGCCTCCTGAGCACGTCCCCCCGTTTCTCAGTCACCTGGAAGTCACTGGCTTGAAGGAGGCAGCCCTGAGCAGGGATGGGTGGGGACGGGGGAAGCAGCAGCAAGTGAACACCTTTCTTTGCTAACACGGAACCCGGGCAGGAGGAGCTGGCTCCCAGCGCTAAGCGCAGCCCACCTGATGTGACGGGCAGCCGGGGGGGCGTCCAGTCTCTCAGCTTGTGGTTGATGCACAAGGCCACGACAGCGTCCCACGGGATCTCAGTGACCGCAGGCCCCGCCCCCGGGTCTGGGGAGGGGTTCCTGCTCTTCCACCGGCGGTAGGTCCTCCGGAGCAGGTTCTCCACCTGGGACTGCAGGACGGGCTGCGTCTGGCGTGAGCTGGGGATCTGTGCGGCGTACTGCACGACCATGGAGCATACGGGTAGCCAGGGCGCTAGGGAGAAAGTGCCTCGTTGGTCGCAGTTTTGGCCAAAGGACACAGGAAAATCTACATGGAAATGTTCTCAACTCTGTATTTTCTTAGGAGAAGGCAACTGTGTAGTTGAGAAATCTGCTTTCGGATCTAAACACAGCAGCTGTTGGGGGAAAGGGCAACTCACGCCCAGGGTCCAGGTGAGGGACGTGACAGTCACCTGGTGGGTCCGCAGCAAAGGTCCACCTGGACCCCGACTGTCCAGCCTGCAGCTGCATCCAGGGACCTGGACTCTCAGCAGCCAGGTGAGTCAGGTAAAAGCACTCTTGGCTTCTCTTGGGGACCTCAGCCTGGCCAAGGGCACAGAGGGCTCTAGCCGCTTCCCTCGGGCTCCTTCCACAGTGAGCATCCGTCAGACCTACTGAGCCCACAGCCCACAGTGCAGACGGGTGCCTGAGGCCCAAAGGGCAGCGTCTGTGCCAAGGCCCTGAGCTCACTCCCTCCTAACCGTTCGCAGAAGGAGCAGTTCCACGCTGCGCTGGGCTCAAGCCAGCCCAGATGACCTGTCGAGTCTGTGTCAAAACCACCTGAGAGCCTCACCCAGGTATAGCCAGAGCCACAGGCCAGAGGCTTCTTGGACAAAGAACCCGGACTCATGTCAGCGCTGGGTGCCGTGGCCCCAGCAGTCAGTAGCTCGGGGACAGGGCCACGTGGTCACCCAGGTCTGACCCAAGCCCGTTTATTCTGAAAACTGGGACCCTGCCAGGCAGGCAGGATTCGGGGTTGGGGTTCCTACCGGTCCTGAGCAGACCCTCAGGGACCATTTGCTGGTGGGGAAAGGCCAACACTCTACAAAACCTGGCTCACTCTGACCTGGGAACCGAGGTGGGTGCAGCAAGCACAGCACAGTCGGGGATGGGCAGGTGCGCGGGGGAGTGGACGTGTGAGCGCACACCAGGCCCGAACCAGACCCGCCCACCGCTCCTCGCGAGCACAGGCACGCACCCCCCGGGGGCGGAAGGTCCATCTGCGGAAGCTGGAACCCAAGCACGGCCTGCTTCAGCCAGGCCAGGTGCTCAGGCGTGTTCCAGTGCAGGTGAGGAAGCAGCTGGCTGCCCCCTGCCTCAGCAAACTCGGTGACAGGCCAGGAGAGGTCACACAGCTGTTCGGAGGACACCACGGATGCCAGGAACTGCAGCACACTGTTGAATAGCTCGATGACGGTGCCGGGCTCCTGCGCGGCCAGGCCACCCAGACGCCTCTCTCTTCTGTCATGGAAAAAACGGCCGCTGAACTCACGGCCAATCCCATCTTCGATGTACTGAATGAGGGTCTGACAGCAAAGGTCGAGGGCACGGGGGCAGCGGGAGACCAGCCACTGAACCGCCTGTGAAACCTGAGAGCAAAGACAGTGGCAAGAGACCTGGCTGGAGGATTCATGGTTTCTCAAAAGCACCGTCTGAAGGTCTCAACACTTCTCCTGCGGCCAGCGGACCCCCGAGGGCTGCCTGTGGTGGGTGCTCTGGGCTCTCAGCCACAGCACCAGGAGCTTGCTCTGTGGCGGGACCTGCAGACACGCCCAGCAGGAGTGCTGGCGAGGAGCGCCAGGTCCCACCCGGCCCTGAGGAGCGTGGCCGGCAAGGGCCCGGGAAGGGCCCAGGCCCTCGGGAAACCAGTCCTGCATGTGCCCCTCACCGTGCACAGAAAGGGAAGCCACGTCCTCTCGCTCTCGGAAGAACTAACTGATTCACTACCTGCCAGGATGCCGTCGCCCCGCAGTTATCCTTCTCCCAGTGGTTACTTTTATCTGAGTTCCTGGCACCTCTTTCCCTAAATGCAATTGTCAGCACAGACTTCCTTTCTTAAGGAAATCTCAGATAACATTATTTCTTCATATATCCCAAGTTCAATTGTCCTAGAAAAATAATTTGTATTTTTTTCTATACCTTCAGATATAAGACATGAATATTCGGTCACATTTTAAATTCATAAAAACAAAAACACTAAAAAAGTTTACATGAATAATTTGTAGACAGCAGTATTATGGACAAACTTAATCTTCTGATTTCTGCTTATATTTTTAGAAAGTTATCTGCATAAAACATAAAATTAAAATCGCTACAGGGCATGGTGTGTGCCTGTAGTCCCAGCTACTCGGGAGGCTAAGGCAGGAGGATCATGTGAGCCAGGAGCTGGAGGCTACAGTGAGCTGTGATCTCGCCTGTGAACAGCCTCGGCACTGCAGCCTGGACAACATGGCAAGACCACATCTCTTAAAAAAAAAAACATTTATAGACACTGATATACACTAAATTCAAAATAGAACAAAGGGGACAAAAATCAAAATATCTCAATGGACCTTTAAAAATGACAAAACCTTACCTTAGTGGTACCTTGTAGATCAATAATAGAATCAGGGATCTCAATAACAGTGTAATCTGAAATCAGCTTAGCTGAAACCAAATCCTGCAGCATCAGACCTTTTAAGAAGAACAGAGGAAGGTCACGCATGTTTTCTCTGGGGTGCACGCGTGCTGAGGCATCTCACTGTGCCAACCCCACCCAGCCCCGCAGTGGACAGTCACCATGGGGGTTCCTGGCCCAGTGATTCCTGACACCGCACTGTGGCTTTCCCCAGACCCGGGGCTCTACCCCTTATTAAACACCACTAGTGCATGAGACTTTTGTCACAAACCATCCTCCACTTCCTTTTCGACGGCGTCCCCTCCCGGGCTGGGCACCAGCACCACCAGCGGCAGCGCAGGCTGGAAGGGCTTGGCCTGCAGGAGCTGCTTGAGCTGCAGCAGGGCCGACAGCCAGTACACATCCTCCTCCGCCACGTCCTCGCTCTTCGTTCTGGGGGGCAGCAGCAGCACAAGCCCGCTGGCTCCCAGGAGGTCCTTCTGCATCTCCACTGCATCAAGGGCACCGTCACTGAGGGCGCCATGGGCCACCTGCAACAGCACAGACCGTCAGGATGTGCACACCAGTGCACACGTCAGAAGAGAATGGCCCACCCAGAGCTAGTGCAGTCGGACCGGCCACCGAGGACACAGCTGGGCCGGCCCTCCCTCCAGGAGACTGTGAATTAGTGCCAGAAACAACCAGTCAACACATAGCTCAGCCTACAGCTACAACTGTGTTTGATCACAGGCATAACAACAGTTAAGGCCCATGATGGGGGACACAAGCTAGCAGCAGACAAGGGTGGTGACACATTTCTAGGAAGCAGCGAGCAGATGGGACCCATCCCTGGGTCAGAGAAGCAGAGGAAGCCACACTTAGCGGCCACAGACTGGCGGGAAGGAGCAAGGCCCTAAGAGCCTCTACCACCTGCGGGTGGCCTCTGAGCACAGTCCTGAGAGATCAGCTGCAGGGCGTCCTCAGGCACAGGGTGGGGACTCGCACCAGCTGCCCCAGGGAGATGCAACAAGCCCTTTCCAGAAACACCCAACAGTCCAGGGAACAGAGCCAGACTCAGACATTCGGGAGCCCAAACGTGTCCCCAGAAGGCTGGCCTGCCACTCAGTGACCTTCCACCCCAACCCAAACACAGGGCTTCTCCGCTAGCCTTTCACAGCCTCACTCACGTATGGACAGTCTTGGCTAACAAGTCCGAGGACAGCCTCCAGCGTAAAAGAGAGAAACTAGAATAACAGAGCAAAAGAAACCCAGAGGAAACAGACACTGCATAGAACACAAGAAAACACAGGCCAAGAAAACCCTAATTCCCTCAGAAAGGTAAGAGGATGAATCCAAAAATCGTATCAAGATGCTATAAAAAAGTCAAAATAAGGACAAGAAGAGGAAATGATAGCATATATGGAATGAAAACTCCGTAGGACATTTGAAAAATGAAGTCAAGGCAAAGTCCCGGAACACAGTGTGGAAGACGAGACTGAAGACAGGACGGAGGGGGTGAGCACCTCGGGCTGACTGACGAGCTCCGGCTCCCGGGTGCTTGTGAGCAAACAGGACAAAGGGAAGGGAAGTGGGCGCCAGAGATAAACGTCCCAGAAGTGAACCCAGAGCCTGCCCCTGGAAGGAGCCCGCTAAGCCCGGATGATGCGCGAGGGAAGCCCAGTGCCAGCAGCATCGGAGTGAATTTTCAGAACCCCATGAGAGAGACAAACCAGGCCACACGGAAAGGAGCAGAAATGTCCTCATCTCAACAGCCACAGTGGACGCCAGGTGACAGCAGAACAAAACTGGAAGGAAAATACGTCTCTACCTGTAATTTCACAAAGCTGGCTAAACTATGAAGCAAATGTGAGAATAAAATAAATGCACTTGCAGAAAGAAAAGGACTCAGAAAATTCCCATCCCAGGCATCCTTCCTTTGGAAGCAACCGGAAGACACGCATCACACAAGGACTAAACCAAGAGGAAAACACCACCGCTGCTGCTGCTGCTGACAAGGCCAGGAGGCACATGGCGCCTGTCAGGCGAGTTCCACATGCCCTGCAGGTGCAAACATGTCGCCACGATACAGTGACACGGTAGTTGCACGGCCCTGGGCAATTTATTTTAACTTCTCTGAGTAAAACAGGGATAAGAAGGAAGGGTACTCCTACACTCCTACACTCCTACGTAGGTGTCACTGAGTCACAGAGCAGGCGGAGGAGCAGGGACCCTGCTCAAACCCTGGCTCTAAGGCACGTGCTACCTGGACGGAGAGCCCAACGGCAGCCACCAACTGAGAGAAGACGATGCATCTGCTTGGAGGAGGGCTCAGGAGAGAGGGGACATGGATGGACCAGGTGAAGGAAAAGTACGTCTGGAAAACTTACTGAGATATATATGGCCCATCTGATAAAAATTAAAGAGCACACAGAAAACTCTGTAAGTGAGAAAATAAGGCAAATATTTCTTGCAGAAAAAGTAAAGAAACATGGTCACGGAAAGAACAGTGCAGGCTCTGAGGTGAAAGGCACAGAAACATCAAAACAGGCTGGGCATGGCGGCTACTCCGGGAGGCTGAGGCGGGAAGCTGCAGTGAGCTATGACTACATCACTGCACTCCGGCCTGGGGGACACAGCGAGGCCTTGTCACTAAAAAAAAGAAAAAAAAAGACTCGAGTTCCCCACTTACTGAGGCGACACAGGGTGACGGTGCAGCTACCACGGGAGCAGGAAGGCTGAGTGGCGCCACGCACAGATCCCACTCCTCAGCGGTGTGCTGTGCTGTGCGGGTCCTGGTGGGACCCGTGACCCCTGCCCTGCCCTGCGGGTGGGCCTAGCGCCTCACTTCTAGAAGACAGAATCCAGCAACAGTGACAGGAAACAGTGTCACTTCCAAGATCAGGTCAGAGACTCTGACTTGCACCTGGGCTCACCCTCTCACACTCGCTGCTGACCGCTGTGGAGGCTGCGCGGCAGGAGCTGGGGCAGCCGCTGGCCACAGCCTCGCCAGCATTTTGGTTCCTGCCTCGTGGGAAACCCTGAGCCAGAGAACTGGCGCAGGCCCAGCTGGACTCTGACCCGCAAAGCCGTGAGATAACAGGTGAGTGTTGTGTTAATCAGCTATATTGGGGGTAATTTGTTACGTAGCAGCAGGTAATAACACACTTATTTTCAGAGAACAGCTAGACTGGATTAATCGAGAGACGCAGTGTGAGGTGTGTCTGGAAACACTGCAGAAACCCAGCCCTGAGGGGCAGCTGCTGGCTCTCAGCACACGTCACATGCAGCTATCTGACTTTTTAACTACATACAAGTGTTACTTTCATTACAAATCTTAAAACCAAAGTCAAGAGGAACAACAAACTAACTTCCGGTAGGTGAACTATGACTTCATAACCACAGGAGAAAAGGGGTAAATATGCGCCGAGAAGTCACTGTTGCCCGGGAACGCGAGGGCACGGGTGGCTCCGGTCACCTGTGTCCCTCCTTTACGTTTTGTGCCTAAGGTTTTCTATGTGTATTACTTCTAGCAAATGCGATAATAGTATTGAAAACCGCAAGAAACAAAACCCCATAAACAAACTATGATTTGAAAAAGTCCTAAGGACAAAGGGAACACAAACTGGAACACCTCACGCGGACGACCTGGGGTGCTGCAAAGGCGACTGCTGGGGGCAGCGGTCTGGGCCACGGAGGCCACGGGGCTGGCAGCTGGGGGCAGTCGGTGGGCCAGGGGGCCTTCCTCCAGGCATGTGGCCCCGCTCATCCTCCTGGGGGCGTCAAACAGGCAAGGTCAGGGCCTCGCCCAGGCCACGGACACCGGGTCTGCTCCACGCTGAACCCTGCGCCCTGCCCTGCACTGCTATTTCCATGTATATAAACAGGATACCTCTGGTTTTATTTCTAAACGCAGAGGCTGAAACCCAAAACTCATTTATGCAGGTTTGCATCTAATGAGGAAATAGATTCTTATTAAACAAAATCTTCTCTGGGAGCCAGCTAAGCTCAATATTATGTGAACACCTATAGAGAGTAAAAACTTGAGCTTCAACCAAGAACTGAGGACAACGTGAACGTAAAACAGAACAGCTGAACCAAAACGCCCGATACTGAACCTACATACTAGCTGGGATCCAGCTTCGTGAAAACCGCATAGGATTAAAAACTTGTTCTTCTGGTAAAACCTGACGTGTCGGGAAGCTGTTTTGACACGGCCGTCAGGCATTCCTGGGGAACACTCCGTGTCTCTCATCCCCAAGTTAACTACCAGAGGCCCACGGAGGCCAAGGCTTCTAGATTATGTACAAAACATCCTAAGTGCACCCGTATGCTGTTCAGGAAGGTTCCACGTCTTCACCAAGTTCTCCAAGAGGTCTGTGACAGCCACGGCCCCTGATCTGCTGAATCCAGCCTGGCCTGTCATCACACCAGACAGGACACTTGCTTCTGAGCCTACGAGTCTTTCAAAAGCACTTCAGGGAATAAAGAGTATTTATAGGATTCCAATGATACCTGGGAGTGAGGGAAAATCATGAAATTACAGAAGTGAAAACACAAAGAGATTGTCACTCACCTTTATACACACGTTAACAGAAACCGCCTGACCCCCTCTGCCGCTGAGCGTGTTGAAAAGCGCAAGCGTCTGAATCCCGCCAGCATCGCTGCACGTGGCATCTGCCAAGCCGTCATCTCCCATGAACTTGACTTTCAACCAATTTGCTAGAATTCTGTAGATAAAAGAGAATAATACATGAGGAATCTAACTCTAAATTTGAACTACAAAGATTTCCAGGAAAAAAAATAACAGAGAAAAATGCCACAGATCCAGGTCCATAGACACCAAATCTTACTTTGAAGCTGACCTGGACAGAACAGGCTGTCATCTTAACATGGAGCGAGGCGCACTACGGGGCTACTTATTTGGGTAAGAGAAGAGGGCATGTCTGGAACTGGCTCATTCTAGCGTGACTTAAGATTCTGAGCAACTGAAAATGTCCCTACAGTTTGAAGTACATGTTTTATAGAATCAAATTTCTCATGCCTGAGACCTTAAGAATTCTTAAGTGACACACGAACTGAACTTAGTAAATCAGAAGAGAGCTGTTTTAAGAAATGCATCACCATTTAAATGCATCTAAAATGCCACAACTCTTTTCTTTGCTCAGCTGTCCTGTGAAATAAACTTCATGACTTTCTTTTTCTATAGGCTGCATGTGTTCCAATAGTAACCACTTAAATGTGTTCTGGCCGGGTGCAGTGGCTCACACCTGTAATCCCAGCACTTTGGGAGGCTGAGGTGGGAGGATCACTTGAGCCAGGAGTTCGAGACCATCCTGAGCAACATACTGAGACCCCATCACTAGAAAAAATAGAGAAATTAGCCACGTGTGGTGGCACATGCCTATAGTGCCAGCTACTCGGGAGGCTGAGGTAGGAGGAGCGCTTAAACCCAGGGAGTTGAGGTAAAAGTCAGCTATTGACACGCCACTGCACTCCAGCCTGGGTGACAGAGCAAGACCCCGTCTCCAAAAAGAAGATTTTTTTTAATTAAAAAATAATGTGAGCCGGGCGCGGTGGCTCACGCCTGTAATCCCAGCACTCTGGGAGGCTGAGGCGGGTGGATCGTTTGAGCTCAGGAGTTCGAGACCAGCCTGAGCAAGAGCGAGACCCCGTCTCTACTAAAAATACAAAGAAATTAATCGGACAACTAAAACCATATAGAAAAAATTAGCCGGGCATGGTGGTGCATGCCTGTAGTCCCAGCTACCTAGGAGGCTGAGGCAGAAGGATCACTTGAGCCCAGGAGTTTGAGGTTGCTGTGACCTAGTCTGACGCCACGGCACTCACTCTAGCCAGGGCAACAGAGTGAGACTCTGTCTCAAAAAAAAAAAAAAAAAAATAATGTGTTCTGCCAGGCACGGTGGAATGCAGTATAGTCCTCCTGCTCAGGAGGCTGAAGTGGGAGGATCACATGAGCCTAGGAGTTCAAGTGCAGTGAGCTATGAGGACGCCTCTGCACTCCAGGCTGGGCAACCAAGCTCTAGACCAAGAACCCATCTCTTTAAAAAAAAAAAAAAAAAAAAAAAGGCACCGTGTTCAGAGAACTTGGAACCCTCATATATTGCTGGTAGGATGTAAAATGGTGCAGCCCCTGCGGAAAATAGTTTGGCAATTCCTCAAAGACTTAAAACGCTGAGTTACCATATGCTCCTAGGTATGTAACCAAGAGAATCACAAACATTGTTCATGCAGTATTTATCAACGAATGGTCACAGCAGCCTTATTCATAATAGCCCCAAAGGGGAAACAACCCACATGCCCACCAACCGATCGATAGATAAATAACGTATGGTACATTCCCACAGTGGAGTATTCAACCACACAAAGAAGGAATGTGGCACTAACACATGCTTCAACACGGATGAGCCTAGAACATGTGACATTAAGGGAATCTGCCAGGCACAAAGACGACATATTACAGGCCTCCACTTCTGTAAGATGGAGAAACCCACAGAAACAGGAGCACACCCGTGGCTGTCGCGGCTAGGCAGGAAGAAGCGGAGGCTGCTAAAAAACACGGTGTTCTCTGTAAGTGAAAATCTGTTCTGGAGTTAGATAATGGTAATGGTTATGAAACCCTGTGAATATAACTGAAAATCACTGAAATGTACACTTTAAATGCAAAGTTTATATGAATTACATTTCAAAGTTATTAAAAAAAAAAAAGTAACATGTTCTACAGTTACTGTAAAAGTATGATGTGTGTAAACTATTTGGTTATAGAAAATAATGCCATGTTGATTTTTTTTACTTCTTTTTTAAAATGACAAAAGTTTTTTCTAAGGGAAAAAAATCAAACTACAGCAAACTGTAAACATCTTCCCCAAGAGTCTAAAATGAAATCAGCTCTAATCAATATACCTTAACACAGCTTTAAATAACAATCAACTTTCAAATGCTTCATGACTAAGACTATTGCTAAGTTTACAGAATAAAAATCGAAATAATGAAATCAGGCTGGGCAACAAAGCAAGATCCCATCTCTAGAAAAAACAGAAACACTAGCTGGGCGTGGTCATGGCGCCTGTAGTCCCAGCTACTAGAGAGGCTGAGGCAGGAGGATGCTTGAGCCCAGGAATTTAAACCTGCAGTGAGCTACGAACATGCCACTGCACTCCAACCCAGGTGACAGAGCAAGACCCTGTCTCAAGAAAAAAGACAAAGAAATAATCGACTCTGAAGTGTCAACTTTAAATCATGAACAAAAGAGGCTGCAAGTCCAAGCATTAAAATGTAACCCTACGCTTCAGTTTCCACGAGAGGAAGCTCCCTGTTCTCTCGGGAGAAGGCACTCCTCCGCTTGGCATTCCAACCCCACGGAGGGAAGCCCTCCCTGACCTGCCAGGACTCCCCGGGGACTGCTCCTCTCCATCAGGCAACACCAGCACCAGCTTCCAGAACACGCGCTCCCGCCTCCCCGGGAGGTGCTTGGCCACGAGGGACGGCAGGTCCAGAGGTGCCCACGCCGCATCACTGGAAGGGACAGACCACGTGGGTCAGCGGTGTGCGAGTCCCGAGCAGGAGCAGCACACGTGACGGGGAAGGACAGACCTCAACAGCTGCTGGCGGAAGTGCTGAACCTTCATCTGGTGAGTCGTCCGGGTTCTGAGCCGCCTTAACCTAGGAGACAGGGGAATGACACCACACCTACCTGAGGCTGGTTCGTGCCCACAGCAGGGGCTTAACAAATATTTACTGATGTTTCTGAGTGAAAAGTAATGCGTTAGTAAGTGTCTCCTGGTGGGGAATACTTAGGAGACTGAGAAAAATTGTTTTTGCTAAAGAAATGGGTTAATCAGAGGACTCTTTCATTCCATAAATATAAATTCAGTATCTACTGTGTGCTGGCTATGGAGATTCAGCAATAAACACACAAAAATCCTGCCCTTCTAAAACATATTCAGGGGGAGAACGAACAGCGTCTGCAAGTGGCTGGTGTGGCACGTAGGAAGTGCCGATTATGGGCAAGCGCTGCCAGGTGGGGCAGGAGCCAGGGTGTGTGCTGTGGTCTCGCTCAGGTGGTCAGAGGAGGTCACGTGCGAGCAAAGACCTGAAGGAAACAGGGAGCTGCGGAGGGGATGGCCATGCCATGCCAGGACCGGACCTGGCATGTTTGGGAGGAATGTGGGGCCTCGAGGAGAGGGGCTCAGTCCATGCTGCAAAGACCCAGGCTGTAGCACAGGGATGTTAACGAGGGAGGTGAGCGACCCCACAGGTGTCAGAGGACACCGGTGAGAAGTGCTGGCAGTGGGTGGAGACACCTGTCAGGCCCAGGCACATTCTGAGAGTAGAGCTATAGGACGGTGGGTCAGAGAGAGAGATGCAGGCCCCGGTTTGTGACCTAAGCACCAGGGACGGGTGGGGTCTGTGAGCAGGGAAGGGGCAGGCTGCAGGAAGCTTAGGGTCAGAAGCTGGACTGGGAACTGGACATCGAGTCTGGAAGGCAGGGACGAGGCCCGGACTGGAGATGCCAAAGGGACAGTCAGCAAGGCAGTCAAGGGAGATCCCAGGGGACAGGACACACAGATGCTGTGATGCCAGCAGGAGGCCAGACCACTGTGCCAAGGTGGCCAGGGGTCAGAGAATGCACCCCACGCCTTGGCCTCACAGCACCCACCCCCGTTACAGATGGAGAGACGGAGCCCCAGGAATCTGATGGGGTCAAATAAAACCCATGGGGACAGTTTCCAGAGAGAACAGCCGGTGACAACCAGGAGTGGCAGGGAGGGCTGCACCAAAGGGCCTCAAGGGAGACACTTTGAGGGGAGAACAGAGCCGCCATGACGCTGCCACAGGAAAGGGGTGGCCTGCGAAGGAGGCAATGGGAGGACAGAGGGGACAGGTGGGCGCAACACAGGCCAGTGCAGACCCTGGCTCCCCAGGGAGGAAGGCGGGGGGCACCTCGACTGGGCGCCAGGAGAACGGATGGTTCTGTGCCGGATTCTATCTGCAGGGCCCGAGTCTCGAGGCCAGAGTCCTCTGGAATCAGAGCCTGGTCTCCTGCAGAGCGAGCCACACCCACGACCGGGGACAGACGACCTCAGCTCGCGTCCCTGCACCTCCGTCTTCCTCCACACGCGCGCATGGACTCAGCTCCCGCCAAGCCAAGTGGGACTGGCCCCGAGGAGGCGGGGCGGTGAAGTGCTGACCTGGTGCAGGAGATGCCCACTTTCCCCGCGTGGCCCAGGTCCAGGAGGCCCTTGGCCAAGTTCTCCTCAGCAATGGGGCACTCTGCGCTGGGTGCCAGCGCCCTCAGCCGGTCGTTCACGTCCACACAGCAGGGGGCCGCGGGGAAAGCCCGCATCTGGCGCCGCAGTTTCTTCCGGGCTGTGACAGCTTCCCTCCACCTGGGGATGCACCAACGTATCATCACTGGGTGTTTTCGAGGTTCACCCAGAAGATGAAATGCAAAAACATGCCCAGCACCATAACACAGGGAAACACGCTTGTTGGCCGTATGTTTAGGTCTTCTCCAGCAAGCCTTCAAACTGAGAAACAAGTCAGAATTAAGACTCAGGCGAGGGGAAGGCAGGATATCACACGAGTGTGTCAGCAGTGAAGCTGCTGAATTGAAGAGCTGACAGCAAATGACCTTTGCAGGCCAGTAAGGCAACACGGATACCAACCTAAGACATGTTCACCCCTTGACCCAGCAACATACGACAAGAACTTTTCTCCAAACCCGTGTGCGTGTGTGCAGACACATGAAACGTCTGTACAAGGATGGTCACTGCAGTGCTCTCTGTCACAGCTAAGCAGAGAAAGCCACAGAGGAGTCCATCCACGGGAACCAGGACAGTCACCTAAGGGACATTCTCACACCATGGACAACGGGGAGAGCAGGTCGTGCTGCCCTGGTCAGGTGTCCACCTCACATCAGACTGCGTAAGAGAAGGTTAGACCAAGGTGGGGGACACGCTCCCATCCCTGTACCGACCATAAGAAGGGACAGGAAGTATCTGGACGGGTACATAACAGCTGCTACTTCTGAGGAAGGGACAGGACCTGCCGTGGAAGGGAGACTGACTTCTCACTATATTCCCTTTTATTTATTTATGTTTATGTTTTGTAGATGGGGTCTCACTATATTGCCCAGGCTGGTCTGGAACTCCTGGCCTCAAGCAATCCTCCTGCCTCAGCCTCCCAGAGTGCTGGGATAACAGGCGTGAGCCACCACGCCCGGCCTATATTCCCTTTTATACTGTTGCAATTGTCAAGTACACTATTACTTATTTTAAATTTTATTATGAAATGAATCACACAACCACATGCCCAGTTTAACAATAAGTCAAACGCCAGGATATTCCATGCAGTTGAGGGTCATTGCCATGACCAGCCCCCGCCTGTTCCCAGAGGAGCCACTATGCTCAGTTTATGATCATTATTTTCCTTCCTTTTTTTTTTTTATTTCAGCATATTATGGGGGTACAAATGTTTGGGTTACGTATATTACCCTTGCCTGACCCGAGTCAGAGCTTTAAGCGTGTCCATCCCCTAGACGGTGCTCACCGCACTCATTAGGTGTGAATATACCCATCCCCTCCTCCTCCCTCCCACCTGCCTGACACCCGATGAATGTTATTGCTATATGTGCACTTAAGTGTTGATCAATTAATACTAATTTGATGGTGAGTACGTGTGGTGCTTGTTTTTCCATTCTTGGGATACTTCACTTAGTAGAATGGGCTTCAGCTCCATCCAGGATAATACATTTCCTTCCTTTCTTTAGAGTTATACTATTACGTATAAATCCAAAACAATCTCTTCAGTTTGAATGTACACTATTGGTATGCTGTGTACATTCCCCTGATAATTGCTTTTCCCCTCGCTACTTACCTTTTGAAAAATCATCCGTGCGGTGGACACAGCCGCAACTTGGCCCCTGCACAGCTGTCTCCCTGTGTTCAGTGCAGAGAGTGAACAGCAGGCACCTCACACGTGTCTGCTAGATACAACCACCCCCAATCTTGTTCCTTACTTATCCCCTTAGTTTGCACTGTTCAGGAATATGTGAGTAAGACTGTTTCCATTAGAGTAGGGTCCATTATAGGTATTCGTTGCTATAAACTGCTCCTCATCCTTTTATCACTGACTAAAGGAACTGACAGCTTGTGCATTCTGAATGTGTGGATTTTATCTGTAGGAACACAGGACTCACCGCTGTAGATACTTGCAGAAGCACTGAAGTTCCTGTAGTGTTTCCTTTGCAGTCTGGAAAATTTCTTCCACGAGGAACAAATCCACCAGGTGGGCACAGACGTCCTCACAGCAACGGGCCATGCGGGCCCTCTGGTCTGTCTCTACCGCGTTCCTAGGAAACAGAGCAGGCACCATGGCAGACACCGCACGGGGCCCACGGACGCCGAGGGCTTGCTTTAATAGCACGAGAGCCCGCGTCCTCAATGTTAGATGTAAATACACCTTCACTGCAAGAGAAGCTTTAAGGTTTTCATTTTTACGTTAAGTACAGATACCTGGAAGACAGGGAAAAGAACAAAAGTGGTACAGGGTGCCAGATTACACACCCAAAGAGGCTCTTGTAACAGTCAAGAAATAAACCTTTACCTCAACAAAACAGTTAGAACGTTTAATCGCTTATTTAATCATTATCATTTCTTAGAGACAAGGTCTTGCTAAGTTGCCCAGGCTGGACTGCAGCGGCCGTTCACAGGTGCGACCATAGCCTCGGACTTCTGGGCTCAAGCAATCCTCCCACCTCGGCCTGCCCCAGCTGGTACTACAGGCACAAAACCACTGTGCCCAGCTTAAAAATTTAATTTTTAAATGACCATTGAGACAACTGCAAAATCTTCTCATCGGCAGTACCTAACGTTTGCAGTTAGAAGTGTCTCAAATACACAGTAAATGCCAGTGGCTGACAAAGATGGCCAGCTATAGTCATGTGGTGCCGGCCCTCAGATAAAACCAGTATCTCAAAGAAATTTTCTAATAAAATTCTGTCAACCAAGAGAGCACAGAGGACTATATCAAATTCATTTGGTCACAAGACCAAACTAGCTCAAGCAGGCAAGACACGTTCCAATCGCCCACGTGTGGCTGAGCTAAACCGAAGGCCCCAGGCACTGCGGGACCAGCACCTCACTTACCTCAACTCCCGGGAGCAGGTGTCCCTCGCGCACTCCATCACCACGAGTTCCATCAGCTCCGCGGCCAGGCCCTGGCTCAGCTGGGTTAACACCAGTTCTCGCTCTTGTTTCAACCTACAGGGAAAAGACAGCGCACAAGGGCGATGTTTCAGAATAAAAACAAGTGATCACTTTCCTCCTCGACCACGCAGATGAGGACTGTGCCGAGCTGCCTGTGTCGGCAGCTCCCTGACACCACCCTCCCCGTTCCGTCCCGTCTGGGGACTCCCACTCCCTGGGCCTGAGTGTGTGAGGGCTCCAGTGACACGCAGGGTCTGACGGCAGCACGGGCCAGCACTCCCGTGTCCACACGCTGACCGCCGTGGCCCGCTCACCTCTCCTCCTCAGCCCGCCGTCTCTCCTCCTCCCTCCGCTCCCTTTCCTCAGTCACTTCTTCGACGGCAACGTGCCTCAAGATGCCCGTGGTTGCTGCTGCTAACAGATCCTCCACGGCAGCGTTTGAAACTCTAGGCAGAGCAAAACGAAGAGCATTCAAAATCAGAGAAAAAACAAAGCCACGTAAACTATGTAACTAAATTTCTAACATTGGCAAGAAAAAGAAATACAGATTGAGTACCCCTAATCTGAAATCCAATACTCCAAAATCTGCAATTTTTGGAGGATAACATGACACTCAAAGGGAATTGCTCATTGGAACATTTCAGATTTTGGACTTTCAGATTAGGGATACTCAACTGGTAAATATAAAGCAAATATTCCAAAATCCAAAAAAATCCAAAATCCAAAATACTTCTGGTCCCAAGAACTTCAGATAAGGGACACTTAAACTATACTTCTTTGGTTTTCAGCACAAAAATTAAGCCCACTGTTAGACACACATAATCTACCAAAACTGACTCACAAAGAAATAGAGAATCTGAATAGACCCGTGACCAGTCAAGAGACTGACTCAGTAATCAAACGCCTCTCAACAGGCTAGGTGCTCACGCCTGTAATCCCAGCACTCTGAAAGGCCGAAGCAGGAGGATCGCTTGAGGTCAGGAGTTGAAGACTAGCCTGAGCAAGAGTGAGACCTTGTCTCTACAAAAAACAGAAAAATTAGCCAGATGTGGTGGTTGCGCCTGTAGTCCCAGATAGGAGGCTGAGGCAGGAGAACTGCCTGAGACCAGGAGTTGGAGGTTGCTGTGAGCTGTGATGATGCCACCATACTCCAGCATGAGCAACAGAGTGAGACCATGTCTCTACACAAAATAGAAAAA